CCTGCCCTAGGTCAATGCGCGAACCGTTGATTCACCTAGAAACGTCTCACCCAGTCTCAAGATTCGTTCGTGGCGGAGTGACAGCAGCCACATGAGACGTAACACGCCCTGAAGCACGCCCGACGTGGAGATGGAGCGATGGAATCGGCGCATGTGTAGGAGGTGACAACGGGATTGTTCGATCGTGACGGCTTCGGAAGGACTTCATCCAGCAGTGGATTGATCATGGCTGGTGATGATGATGAAACCCTGGGTACTGTATACAAGTAGGCAACAGAGTGACTGTCTCCGCGAAGCTCACTCGAGGCTTTTCAAGATTCCCAGTGAATTATGTGGTCTTACAGATGAATTGTGGCCTACAGATTAATTGTGTGGCCTTACAGATGAATTGTGTGGCCTTACAGATGAATTGTGAGGCCTTACAGATGAACTGTGTGGTCTTACAGATGAATTGTGTGGTCTTACAGATGAATTGTGTGGCCTTACAGATGAATTGTGGTCTTACAGATGAATTGTGTGGCCTTACATATGAATTGTGTGGCCTTACAGATGAATTGTGGTCTTACAGATGAATTGTGTGGCCTTACATATGAATTGTGTGGTCTTACAGATGAATTGTGGTCTTACAGATGAATTGTGTGGCCTTACATATGAATTGTGTGGCTTTACAGATGAATTGTGGTCTTACAGATGAATTGTGTGGCCTTACAGATGAATTGTGGTCTTACAGATGAATTGTGGCCTTACAGATGAATTGTGGCCTTACAGATGAATTGTGGTCTTACAGATGAATTGTGGTCTTACAGATGAATTGTGTGGCCTTACAAATGAATTGATGCGGCCTTACAGATGAACCGTGTGGCCTTACAGATGAATTGTGGTCTTACAGATGAATTGTGTGGCCTTACAGATGAACTGTGTGGCCTTACAGATGAACTGTGTGGCCTTACAGATGAATTGTGTGGCCTTACAGATGAATTGTGGTCTTACAGATGAATTGTGTGGCCTTACAGATGAACTGTGTGGTCTTACAGATGAACTGTGTGGCCTTACAGATGAAATGTGTGGCCTTACAGATGCATTGTGTGGCCTTACAGATGAAATGTGTGGTCTTACAGATGAATTGTGTGGCCTTACAGATGAATTGTGTGGTCTTACAGATGAACTGTGGGCCTTACAGATGAACTGTGTGGCCTTACAGATGAATTGTGTGGCCTTACAGATGAAATGTGTGGCCTTACAGATGAACTGTGCGGCCTTACAGATGAACTGTGTGGTCTTACAGATGAATTGTGTGGCCTTACAGATGAACTGTGTGGTCTTACAGATGAACTGTGCGGCCTTACAGATGAAATGTGTGGCCTTACAGATGAATTGTGTGGCCTTACAGATGAACTGTGTGGTCTTACAGATGAACTGTGCGGCCTTACAGATGAATTGTGGCCTTACAGATGAATTGTGGCCTTACAGATGAATTGTGTGGCCTTACAGATGAACTGTGTGGCCTTACAGATGAATTGTGGCCTTACAGATGAACCGTGTGGTCTTACAGATGAATTGTGTGGCCTTACAGATGAACTGTGTGGCCTTACAGATGAATTGTGTGGCCTTACAGATGAACCGTGTGGTCTTACAGATGAATTATGTGGCCTTACAGATGAACCGTGTGGCCTTACAGATGAATTGTGTGGCCTTACAGATGAACCGTGTGGTCTTACAGATGAATTGTGTGGCCTTACAGATGAACCGTGTGGCCTTACAGATGAATTGTGTGGCCTTACAGATGAACTGTGTGGCCTTACAGATGAATTATGTGGCCTTACAGATGAACCGTGTGGCCTTACAGATGAATTGTGTGGCCTTACAGATGAACTGTGTGGCCTTACAGATGAATTGTGTGGCCTTACAGATGAACCGTGTGGTCTTACAGATGAATTATGTGGCCTTACAGATGAACCGTGTGGTCTTACAGATGAATTGTGTGGCCTTACAGATGAACTGTGTGGCCTTACAGATGAATTATGTGGCCTTACAGATGAACCGTGTGGCCTTACAGATGAATTGTGTGGCCTTACAGATGAACCGTGTGGCCTTACAGATGAATTGTGTGGCCTTACAGATGAACCGTGTGGTCTTACAGATGAATTATGTGGCCTTACAGATGAACCGTGTGGTCTTACATATGAATTGTGTGTCCTTACAGATGAATTGTGACCTTACAGATTAATTGTGTGGCCTTACAGATGAACTGTGTGGTCTTACAGATGAACGGTGTGGCCTTACAGATGAATTGTGGCCTTACAGATGAATTATGTGGCCTTACAGATGAACCGTGTGGTCTTACAGATAAATTGTGTGGCCTTACAGATGAACTGTGTGGTCTTACAGATGATTTATGTGGCCTTACAGATTAATTGTGTGGTCTTACAGATGAACTGTGTGGCCTTACAGATGAATTGTGTGGTCTTACAAATGAATTGTGGCCTTACAGATGAATTGTGGCCTACAGATTAATTGTGTGGTCTTACATATGAATTGTGTGGCCTTACAGATGAATTGTGTGGCCTTACAGATGAATTGTGTGGCCTTACAGATAAATTGTGGCCTTACAGATGAATTATGTGGCCTTACAGATGAACCGTGTGGTCTTACAGATGAATTATGTGGCCTTACAGATGAACCGTGTGGTCTTACAGATTAACTTTGTGGCCTTACAGATGAACTGTGTGGCCTTACAGATGAATTGTGTGGCCTTACAGATGAATTGTGGCCTTACAGATGAATTGTGTGGCCTTACAGATTAACTTTGTGGCCTTACAGATGAATTGTGTGGCCTTACAGATTAACTTTGTGGCCTTACAGATGAATTGTGTGGCCTTACAGATGAATTTGTGGCCTTACAGATGAATTGTGTGGCCTTACAGATGAATTGTGTGGCCTTACAGATGAATTGTGTGGCCTTACAGATGAATTGTGTGGCCTTACAGATTAACTTTGTGGCCTTACAAATGAATTGTGTGGCCTTACAGATGAATTGTGTGGCCTTACAGATGAATTGTGTGGCCTTACAGATGAGTTGTGTGGCCTTACAGATGAATTGTGGCCTTGCAGATGAATTGTGTGGCCTTACAGATGCATTTTCGGGCAGACGCTCGCCTGTTTCAGCTTGCTCAGGGTGTAGGGCGTTGGTGATGTTGAGAGTCAGTTTATTGGTTATTGGTGGTGATTGTGATGGTGGTCGTGGTAGCGGGTATTTATATTGGTGGTGATTGTGATGGTAGGTCGTGGTAGTAGGTATTCGTATTGGTGGTAGGCGGTGAGTTTGGTGGTGGTGATGGTCGTTATCGCGGTAATGGTTGCTGTCGTAATACGTGGTGTGCTGAGGGTTGGTGTCGTAGTAGGTGATTGTGTTGATGGTGGGTGTGAGTTAGCTGATAGTGGTTGGAATCGTGTTAGGTGGTCTACTGGCGGTGGTGGTAGTGAGGGTTGTGGTAGGGTTGGTGGTGCTGCTGACAATAGCGATGTGTTTGGTTGTGGTGGTGAGCGTCGTGGTGGGCGGTTGTTGTCGATGACGACGCTCGCTCGGTACGAGTTGCGAGCCGACAGTTGCGGCAGTCGTCGTCGCGATTGGCTATGGCGAAGATGGAACGGGGGTGGGTGTGTGTGGGTGTGTGTGGGTGGGTGTGCGTGTGGGTGGGCGTGTGGGTGGGTATGCGTGTGTGCGTGTAGGTGGGTGTGCGTGTGTGTGTGTGTGCGTGTGGGTGTGTGTGCGTACGAGTGGGTGGGTGTGCGTGTGGGTGGGTGTGCGTGTGGGTGGGTGCGTGTGCGTGTGGGTGGGTGGGTGTGCGTGTGTGCCTGTGGGTGGGTGGGTGTGGGTGGGTGGGTGTGCGTGTGGGTGGGTGGGTGTGCGTGTGGGTGGGTGTGCGTGGGTTGGGTGGGTGGGTGTGCATGTGGATGGGTGGGTGTGCGTCTGTGCGTGTGGGGGTGGGTGTGCGTGTGTGTGGGTGTGCGTGTGTGTGGGTGTGCGTGTTGGTGGGTGTGCGTGTGTGCGTGTCGGTGAGTGTGGGTGTGTGTGCGTGTGGGTGGGTGGGTGTGCATGTGGGTGGGTGTGCGTGTGGGTGAGTGGGTGAGCGTGTGGGTCGGTGGGTGGGTGTGCGTGTGGGTGTGGGTGTGCGTGTGGGTGTGTGTGTGGGTGGGTGTGCGTGTGGGTGGGTGGGTGTGCGTGTGGGTGGGTGGGTGTGCGTGTGGGTGGGTTGGGTGTGCGTGTGGGTGGGTGACAACGGGGGGCTCGTGGCAAGAATCGTTGGGTGGTGGTGGTGGGGGCCGTAACAGTTGGGGGGTAGAAGGTGGGGGGGTAGAGGGTGGGGGGGTAGAGGGTGGGGGGGGGGGTAAAGGGTGGGGGTAGAAGGTGGGGGGTAGAGGGTGGGGGGTAGAAGGTGGGGAGTAGAGAGTGGAGGGTAGAGGGTGGGGGGGGGTAGAGGGTGGAGGGGTAGAGAGTGGGGGGTAGAGGGTGGGGGTAGAAGGTGGGGGGTAGAGGGTAGGGGGTAGAGGGTGGGGGGGTAAAGGGTTGGGGTAGAAGGTGGGGGGTAGAGGGTTGGGGGTAGAAGGTGGGGGGTAGAGAGTGGAGGGTACAGGGTGGGGGGGTAGAGGGTGGGGGGGGTAGAGAGTGGGGGGTAGAGGGTGGGGGGGCCGTAGCAGTTGGGGGGTAGAGGGTGGGGGGGTAGAGAGTGGGGGGTAAAGGGTGGGGTAGAGGGTGGGGGGGCCGTAGCAGTTGGGGGGTAGAGGGTGGGGGGGTAGAGAGTGGGGGGTAAAGGGTGGGGTAGAGGGTGGGGGGCCGTAGCAGTTGGGAGGTAGAGGGTGGGGGGTAGAGGTGGGGGGTAGATGGTGGGGGGGGGTAGAGGGTGGGGGGGTAGAAGATACAAACGGAAGCGCCCGTCCAATCACGCGCTCCGGCGAGGACGGGTGTTCGCCGCTGCGCGCTCTATAAGAGATCGGGCGCGCGCTCTCTCGCTACGACACGAGGCACCGACCGAGTGAGACATCCTTCTCGAGAGACAACGCAGAGGGACAGAGACGACGGGCAGAGAGACACGACCCCTTCACACACACACGTACACAAATCTACGCAGAATCAAAGTCTCCGTCGTTGCATTACCACACGGGGAAAATAATCGCGTATACACGTCCATTGCATTCATTTCACGGTGCATTGTACCGCTGTGGTGAGTGTGCGAACGTATAGACAAGTATTATACATTCAGACAATCAACAACAGCAAGACTACCCACCACCACCAGCAGCAGCAGCAGGAGCACCATCACCAACATTGACAGCATCAGCAGCACTCTCAGCATCAGCAGCAAAAGCAGGCGCAGGCTGTAGCCCGGGTGAGGAGGCGAACTCGGCGTCAGAGAGGGGCGAACAGCAGCGGCAGCAGGAGGAGAGGAGGCGATGTCTGGAGGCGCGGAGGTGCCGGGCGGGGACGCGGCGCAGGCGGGGCTGGCGGGACTCCTCGCCTCGCTTCCCGGGGTCCCACCGAGTCCCGTGCGGGACTTGCGCGCGCGGTACACCAAGGTGCGTGAGAGTGCGTGAGCGAGTGAGTGAGCGAGCGAATGAGTGAGTGAGCGAGCGAATGAGTGAGTGAGCGAGCTGAATGAGTGAGTGAGCGAGCGAGCCATAGAGCAGGGTGCGTGAGTGAGTGAGTGAGCGAGTGAGCGAGCGAGTGAGTGAGCGAGCGAGTGAGCAAGTGAATGAGCAAGCGAGGGAGTGAGCGAGCGAGTGAGTGAGTGAGCCATACAGCAATGTGCGTGAGCGAGTGAATGAGTGAGTGAGCGAGTGAGCGAGCGAGTGAATGAGTGAGCGAGTGAGTGAATGAGTGAGTGAGCGAGTGAGTGAGCGAGTGAATGAGCGAGCGAGTGAGTGAGCCATACAGCACGGTGCGTGAGTGATGCAGCGACGCGCGCGAGTGACAGTGGCGTAGCTATCGAGTGCGCAGGCGGTGCAACTGCACAGGGGCTGCATGGGCCAGAGGGGCCTAGGCGCAGGTAGCTACGAAGATGAAGGGGGAGATCATTGGATGAACGGGGGAGGGACATTTTATTCCTGGCATCAGGGCTCATGCCGATCACGTTACGCCACTGAATGTGCGCGCGAGTGGGTTAACATACTGTTGTGAGCGCGTGAGTCAGTGTGTGTGTGTGAGTGTGGGTGTGTGTGAGTGTGGGTGTGTGTGAGTGTGGGTGTGTTTGTGTGAGTGTGTGTGGGTGTGTTTATGTGAGTGAGTGTGAGTGTGGGGTGTGTGTGTGTGAGTGTGGGTGTGTGTGTGTGAGTGAGTGTGTGTGTGTGTGAGTGTGGGTGTGTGTGAGTGTGGGTGTGTTTGTGTGAGTGTGTGTGGGTGTGTTTATGTGAGTGTGTGTGAGTGTGGGTGTGTGTGTGTGAGTGTGGGTGTGTGAGTGAGTGTGTGTGAGTGTGGGTGTGTGTGTGAGTGTGAGTGAGTGTGTGTGAGTGTGTGTGGGTGTGTGAGTGTGGGTGTGTGTGAGTGTGGGTGTGTGTGTGAGTGTGGGTGTGTGAGTGAGTGTGTGTGAGTGTGGGCGTGTGTGAGAGTGTGAGCGATACCGTAATGCATAGCGAATTGGTCGATGCACACACACCCCAAAGGCGCGTGCGTGAGAGAGTGCGTGAGAAGGCGTGAGAGAGAGATAGAGAGTCGAGGGACCGAGGTAGGTGAGTGCGTGATCTCTACTGCACTTACACCACTTACACCAAGCCAAACAAATTACGTTAGTGGTGATGCTGCTGCTGCTTTTGTTGCGGTGCGCAACACACAATTAGCGGAAGAAACAAAAACAACGCGACGCATTCGCCAATAGCACCGCGTGCGGCATTGAAAAAACAAATCAGAATCATAGGCGACGTTTGGGGCAATGGCCCCTTCTTCACAGGTGCGTGAGAGATCTTCTTAAGGCCAAGCGGGTCGTGGATCGTGATCCACCGAGGGGAGGAGGGGAGTGCGTGGGTCTCTCCGCATTGCGTGGGTCTCTCTCCGGCTCGGAGCGCGTGGCGTGCGTGAGCGTTCCGCGTGATGACCACGCTTCCATCCAGTTCCGGATGATCCTGGTAGCACAAGCAGCTACATGTGTAGTAACTAATGCTACATATGTAGCGCTAAACGCTTTCAAGCTATCAATTCCGGTTCAGTGATCCTGCACTTGCTCTATTACTATAGTACTCTACCGCCCTTCAACTTTTCAGAACGACTGGGTGTTTAAGGTTTGCGATTTGTCGTATTATCTGGCTGTATAGCAAATTAAACATACAATCACTTTACTATGCAAGTAAAAAATTCGTGTTTTAATATTAACATTTATTTATTTTGGGCCCCTTTATAACATGTGCTACAGGCCCCGCACTAGCTTCATCCGGCACTGCTTCCATCGTAGCGGCCTCGAGGGCATGAAGCAGTGTGGGTTCTTAATCTTTACCGCAACCTTGCACCCCTTTGATTCACAATCGCTTAAAACGAAGTAGTATCTTAATAAATGCGTCGGGTTTCACGAAACAAAGTGGAGGTTGTACCGACGTTGCCGTGCCAAATTTGTGTTTTCGATCATTTACCTTCCTTTAAAAAAAAAAATCTGGTCACGTCCCGCACACGCATGGAGTGGGAACGTGCACCTCCAGGTGAAGAGCCACCCGTATCAGGGGTGACGGACTCTCGTGGTGAACGAACGTTACAGACACCGGCCACAGCAGCGCGACTGTGACCGCGCAAACCCACACACCGTGGACCGCAAAGCGAACGCCTGCGGTCTGTGCTCTCCGCACTGGAGGAGTCGCGAAACGACGCAAGCCGTCACGCGAAGCCCCTGGCGAGCAGACCTCGACGTTGGCACTTCGCTCCTGAACGCACGCGATGATTAGACGATAATGTGTTGTGGTGCTCGTGCGTGAATGTCGACGTGTCAACGTTGTTGTCTTTTAATGGAAATGAGTGGATGTGTTCGCGTTGACCACACGCGCACTGAATTTAGCCTAATTGTCCTTCCCCCTACACCTCTGATTAGCACGGCTGGCTACGTACGGTGCGAAAGAAGTCCAACATACATATAATTACCCAGCCGTTTGGTAGGGCCTCGAGTGGGAATTATGTGTGTGTGAGAGAGTTCACTGCCTGTGAGTTCACAGTGCGTGTGCGCGTGTGTGTACGAGTTCACTCGTGGGGAGCGGTGGTGCAGCGGTCAGCGCTACGTTGCGCTGCGAACCCGACCGTCCGAGTTCGATTTCCGCTCACGGCCAACACCAGTGACGATTATCTGAACCAGTCCTGGGCCTCCCCCTAGGTCGACTCAGCCTCAAATGAGTACCTAGTGCGATGTGTAGTAAACACTGCCACTGGGGAGACAAAGGCGGCCGGGCGTGGTGCTGGCCACCCACCCCCTCGTGTGGCGTGCCGGCCTATATAGGCGCTCGCTAATAGCACTTGCCCCAAAAATCTATTAAGACTATACGGGGGGATATTTGCATTTGAGTTCACGTGTGTGTGTGTACATGTTAAAATGTGTACACATCCCAAGTTGTACACACGTGAATATATAAGGGCGTGAACCTTAATAGGTGCTCGCTAACAAGCTAGATATCTATACCCCGATACTCGAGAATACCATGTGGCTAGGTAGAGCAATTGATGGTTTAATTCAATGGTGAGCGTCACCTAATTCGTGTTTTTTTATTTAAAGAGTTTCCCCCGGTCAGGATACGAATAGCATCAGAATGAATTCGTGCGTGAACATGGCGTGGGTTTCCTTTAGGTCGGCTCGGCCTTAAACACACAACTGAACAACAACAACAAAACTGTTTTGCTCCGAGAGCGTTGATCCCACCTCGCATGCAATCTGCTCGCAATTAACACGCACTCTGGCGGCAGCCACAATTACAAAGAGGAACACCATTACGTTACGCAGGGAAATGTTTATTTGCACGTGTTGAACTTCTTTCACACCCTACGTAGGACACCGCGCTAATCGGAGGTGCGAGGGGCTGGACAACAAACTGAACACGCACACACACAGGGGCTGGACAACAAACTGAACACACACAATGACCAGCGTGGTGAAGTATGGTAAACCCCCCCCCCCTCCTCCCCCCTTCCCCACGTGGAGACCAACACGACGAGAGCGGGAGAGGCTCTAATCCGGCGGTGGATGGGCAATTGCTGTTGACAATGAATCGGTCTAACGGACATGTACATCATTAGATTTGCAATGACAAGCTAGGAAATAATTACTGCACTTGCACACGTCAAATTATTGTAAGATTTTTTTTTATCGATCTTCCGAAGGTTATTTTGCTTGAATACTCGAAAAGAAACTCGTATGCCGTGCCGGCCTTTATATGTGCTCGCAAACAGTACTTGCCCCTACAGTTTGTTAAGGCTATACGGGGGATCTTTGTCTTTGTGGTGCCTTGGCGCACCTCTTCTGTCCTGTTCTCGTTGTCAAGAATTATTCCGTACGAAGTCGCCGACGATATTCTGCCTCGTGTCAACGGCACATTCCGTTACACGCGTGCGCGACTCCGCGAGCACTTGCCCCAAAAGTCTGTTCAGGTTATACGGGGGATCTTTGTGACTATGTGAGTGCGTGTGTGCGCGACTATATCCGTGCCTGTATATGTGCGTGCATGTCTGTATGTATGTATGTATGTGTAACTTTGTCTATGAGTGGTTGCGTGAGTGTGTATATGTGTGTGTGTAATGTGCGTGCGTAGGGGTAGTGTTACAGTTAGCACGCTGAGCTACAAACCAGGTGACCCGAGTTCGATCCCCGCTCACGGCCACCAACATCGGTGACGATGATCTGAACCGGTCCAAGGCCTTCCCCTAGGTCGACTCAACCTAGAATGAGTACCTGGTGCGATGTGTAAACATTTCCACTAGGGAGACAAAGGCGGTCGGGCGTGGTGCTGCCCCCCCACCCCCTTGTGCGCCGTTCCGACCTTCATAGGTGCTCGCGAACAGCACTTGCCCCAACCGCCCGTTAAAGGCTATACGGGGGATATTTGTTTTTTGTATGTGCGTGCGTGTGTATGTGTTGCGCGTCTATGCGTGCGTCTGTTTCGCTTGTGCATTGTATAACTTTAAAAGGCGCGTTCGATGTGCACACAGTGTATTTTTTGCCAACACGTGCATGCGCGGTGTCACTCGTGGAGGACAGGTGGGCGTGAGATGTTTACTCGTCGGCAACCCTTCTCACGGGCACACACGCACAAAGACAAAGGTCCCCCCCCCCGCTGAAGGCCACACAAAGTGCAGGGGAAAGTGTTGTTCGCGAACACCTATTAAGGCTGGAACGGCACACGAAGCACCACGCTCGGCCGCCTTTGTATCCCTCGTGACGATGTTTACACGCGTACACACACGTACCTGCATGCAGTCCTTTTTGTCAATCCACCGCTAGATTGAAGGACCATCCGTCGTGATATTCCGCGTCATAGGCGAGCATCGACGTGGGAACATATAAGTAGAGTATTACCCGTGGATTTGTTGTTCTGCATTGTCCTTTGTTGGACATCACGCA